AAATTATATATAAGAATATTATATATATATTACATTATATATATATTTTATATATGTATATATATATATTATATTATATAATATTTATATCTATATTTATGAAACAATCACATGGAAGTAAAGTGTTCAGAACAGCTTGTCATATAAATATCAAAGTACTAATGCTAATGAACCGTGAATTGAAAGATTGTCAGTATCATTTTAGACAACACCATGTACCATGCAGGTTTCTTATCCTCACATTCAAGATAGTCACCCTACGAGAAGCAGTAAGAAACAGGCATGTGAAAGAAAGAAACACAGAACTAGTAAAATGTTGAAAAGAAATAGCTTTTTCGGAGATAATGGTTGATGAATTAAAAAGGGGATTCTGCAGGGTGACAAGGGATAATAAGAGTATCTCTGCAATTAAAAATATTTAGAAAATAGGGTAATATAGATACTGATAACTCTTATTAAAGGGGGGGGGGAATATGCTGTGGAATCCAACTGAAAAGATGTAATGATTAATGGTTTATTGGGAATTAAGATGAGGGAATAAAGGTATATTCTAATCATTAAGGTGCCACACTCAAAATAGTAAAAGAGGGGAAACTTATACTTGTTCTTTTTTCTTTTTTGTGGGTGTGTTAAGATCTGTATTAATTTAGAATTAATAAAAAAAAATGTGTAATGGAAAGGGAATATGACAGACTAAAGAACCAGCTAAATTAATAAGTTTAATATAGATTATTAAAAGCAAGGAGAGACATTGGTAACTTCATTATTACCACTATTAGGCAAATATATATTGTTTATTTTTATTTTTGAAATAAATATTAAGGATTATATTTGAAATAATTGAGATGAAATAAAAAGATGTTTAGATTGAGATTAATGAAAGAACTTAGAATTAAACTTTATTATTATTTATTAGGCAAACACATATTGTTTATCTTTATGTTTAAAAACAAATACTAAAGGATTATATTTGAAATAATTGAAATGAAACAAAATCGATTGAGATTAATGAAAGAGGCTAGAATTAATGTGTTCGTTTCTCTCCTTACTGGAAATTTGGAATGGAAAAGGTAATAATAGAATTAAGTATGCATATATCAATGTATAATTTCTGTCATATTTGTATGTAAAGATGATGACCTGGAAATATGTTGTCCACCAAAAAGAGATTTTTGTTTTCTAATGTGAAAAACTGAATAAAGTCTGTTTAAAAAAATAAAAGATAGTCACCCTACCTACATTATCTACTTTTTATGGCGAATTCCTCCCTCCTGTATTCCTCTCTTTTCCCTCCCTCCCATCTCCAGTTCTTCCTTTTATTTCCCCACCCTCCCATCCATCCATCCATCCATCCTCCCCCCTTCCCCTCTTTCCTTCCTTCCTACCTCCAATCTCCCTTTCCTCCCTCCCATCCATCCATCTCCTTTCCTCTCCCTCCCTTCCTTCTCCCCTCTTTCCCTCCCTCTAAAAAGATATTTAACAAGATGGAAAGATTAAATTCTCCAAACTAATCAGCTGCACTGTCAAATATATTACAAGAAATATCAATTTCTTCTCTGCAAGAATATTGGAATACTTTCAAGATGACCTGGAAAGTATTATAGCTCTTCCGACTCAGAAGAGAGAGAGAAAGAGAAACAGCAAAGGAATGTGATGAAAACAAGGAAGCAACACCTACCCATATCGCTGGAACTGGTAGTCAAAGGTTAGCTCTGAGCCGGAAGTTACCAGCTTGGTGGTGAAAAAGCCCACCCTTAGCTGCCCGTTCACTGTCCACTAAAAGAAAGTGGGGAGAGGGGGCGGACAAAAGACGATAACAGGATTAAATTGCAACTTTATAACTGTGGCATTTTAATTTTTTAAGTGTGCTAGAAATCACGGTTGCTTTGAAATACTTGGCTTCAGACTGCCAAAAGATACACGTTTATACGAACATATACGCAGCTTAGGAATTGTCACGCCCCGAAAAGTGAGAGCAGGAAGACACACACAACCATGGGAACTTAAAATCCAGGTTGTAAGTTGCCCCGAGGTTGGTCCTCTACTTTCCTTTAAAAATACTTCTCTTGAAAATGTCCGTCCAGGGTGAGAAAAGGAAAGTGGTCCCACATCACTGTCTGTTCCACGACTCACCTTCTGTGTCTCACAATTTGGTTCACAACTGTGGTTCATGAAACGAGAGCAGTTCCCTTTTTGCGTGGCGTCGATTATCTGAAAAGGGAAAGGAAATCGCTACAGAGCCAGTGCTCGTTTTAAAGACCACTTGTTCCGTGACCCTTCAAAGTTATGGTGGCGCCGAGGAAGTGGGACTGATGGCTGATCTGTGGCCTTTCCTGCTGGTTTCCTTCAAGCAAAGTCAGTGGGGAAGCCAGCGGGGAATCGCAAGTCTCAGTCACGAGATGTCCTCACTTAAAAACCACGCAGGTTTTGTTTAACAACGGCAACTGGAAGTCCTGGAACTCCTGCCACGAGTCACGTGACATCACATTTTTATGACCGCGTCACTTGGTGAGGAGTATCTCCAAATTATTGTGGTTAAACCTGTACCGCTTTTAAAAAAGAGGATTAAAAAAAAATGAACAAAACATACAAAAGCACACACAGGTACGTGAGGTACTATGCCGGTTCCATTGTTAAAAAAGACGGCAGCCACTGCTACTGTCCAGAGGTTCTGTATAAATGCAGTCCTCGATTGACAATTATAACAGAATATCTGTTGCTAAGCAAGGTTGCCTGATTTTAAGACTTTTCTGACCAAGGCTGTTAAACAATTCACTGCAGTTAAATGAACCATTTAGTCGTTAAATCGCTTCTCCCAGATTTAATTATCGGAAGCCGCCTGGGACGGTCGCAAATGGCGACCATGTGACCCACGGACATGGCAAGTCGTAAACATACACAAGATGCCAAGTGCCTGAATTTAGGTCAAGTGACCTCTTGCAATTGTCATAAATACGAGCCAGTTCCCAAGAACCTGAATTTTGATCCCATGACCATGTGTGAATGAGGAGGCAGCTGTAAGTGTGATACGTCACTTTTTTTTCAAGCTGTTGTAACTCTGAACAGTTGCTAAGCAGAGGCGGAAATTCAACAGGTTCTGACCAGTTCTGGAGAACCGGTAGCGGAAATTTTGAGTAGTTTGGAGAACCAGCAAATACCACCCCTGACTGGAGATCTTACAGTATCCTTCCCCTGCCACGCCCACCAAGCCACGCCCACAGAACCCGTAGTAAAAAAAAATGAATCCCACCAGTGTCGCTAAGGTGTGGTAAGGTGAGGATAATCTGAACCAAATTAACTAAAACACATCAACAAGAGCCGTTGTAACTTCAAACAGCCACTAAATGAATGGTCTTAAGTCAAGGGCAACGTATAGCAAGTTATCAACTATAATTTATTACAACGAATGCTCACCTCATCATTTTTCAAAGCCATGAAGTAATAATGGATGTTCTTGTTTCGGGCATATTCCTTCACTCGAGTTTTGAATTCTTTGTGATCCAGAACTTCTCCACAGTATTCAAGAACAAAGGTGTTACTAAGCAAGACAAAAGGAAGACAAGATGATGGAAAAAGGGCAAAACATGCACAACTAAAACACAGCAATATTACGTTTGCATGGATCTATTTACCTATCTATCCATATCTATCTTATCCATCCATCTGTTCTGATCAAGGCTTCCAAGACCGTAATTACGGACATGCTTATTTTAAAAACAAGTCTTGTTTTATTGCAATGCTGGGAATTGTTTTCATTCCCAGCCAGTAATGAATCTCAAACAGTCCCTCAAGATAAGCACCCACCTTTCTTTCCTGTGAAGTACTGCCAAGAACAGAAGTGCCCAATGAATTAGAAAAAAAAACCAGCGAAGTACAAAGAGCTTCAATGATGAATCTGAACTGAACGAACGACTTTGCTTCCTGCAAAGGTATCGTCATCTTGGCCTGTTCTTTATACCTTAGGGGAGGGGCAATCACTTCCCAGTCTTACTCCCAAGTCGCCCCTTTTGTCTCAGCTGCTCTCGCCTTCTAGCAGCTCTGCACACATGCGCACTGGGAACAGGCTCCCCTGGGTCCTCTGCCTCGCTGCTGCCAGACTCCGGAAGCTCTGAAGGCAGCACAAAACTCCCAGATGGTCCTGGCCCCACCCTTGTCCAAGTCCTCTCCAGACTCCCGGACTGGTCCCTGTTCCTCCCCACTTTCCGCTTCCGCCTGCACCAGCTGTCAGCGAACCACACCACCATCCATCCATCAATCTCTAAACTATCCAACTCTACCATCTATCCATCAATAATTACCTATCTCTAATCTCTAATCTATCCATCTCTATTCTACCTATTTCTAATCTGTCTGTCTGTCAATGTACCTACCTACCTACCTACATACCTTCTGAGGGCAGAAATCAGAATTTCAATGTGTGCGATTGTGTACACAGAAAAGTGACAATAAAGGTTATCTTACTAGTGCCTTGGCTTTCACTCACAATTGAATTTAAGGAGCGATGGAGATGCTCCCTAGCAAATTTGTTGCCTTCAAGTGAATCACAGGCTACACGTTTCTGCTAGTACAGGTAGTCCTCGCTTTATGACAACAGAGCCCCAAATTTCTGTTGCTAAGCGAGGCAGTTGTGAAATGAGTTTTGCCTCATTTTACGACCTTTTTGCCACCACTGTTAAGTGAATCCCTGCAGTTGTTAAGTTACATGGCTGTTAAGTGAATCCAGCTTCCTCATTGACCGTACTTGTCAGAAGGTCGCAAAAGGGGATCACGTGACCCCCCCCCAGGGACATTGCAACTGTCGTAAATACGAGTCGTTGCCAAGTGCCTGAATTTTTACCACATGACCATGCAACGGTCCTTAAGTGTGAAAAACGGTCATAAGTCATTTTTCCCAGTGCTGCTGTAAACTTAAAGGGCCACTGGATGAATGGACATAAGTCAAAGACTATCTGTACCCACTTACTATCTTCCTTCTTGAGAAAAAGATGCGAGGACGAAAGAGGTTTGAAGACGTTTCTCTTTAATCTTATTAATGCCTGGTTTTAGTCATTGATCAGGATGGGGAGGAAAGCCCTTACCAGATATTCTGGAGCTTTGGAACGGCTGCGGAGTCTCATCAGGGTCTCTTTCGTGTATGGCCTAGTGGTTAAGGTACCAGGCTAGAAAGCAGGAGATGGCGAATTCTAGTCCTGCCTCAGGCATGGAAACCATTGGGGTGACTTTGGGCCAATAATCGGCAGACAGCGAGTTCAAGACCCACCTTAGGCATGAAAGCCGGCTGAGTGATTTGGGGCCAATCCCTAGGAGACGGTGAGTTCTAGTCCCACCTTGGGCATCTAAGTTAATTGGGTGACTGAATCAATCAACAGGGGATGGTGAGTTCTAGTGCAACATTGGGCATGAAAGCCGGCTGGGTGATTTGGGGCCAATGACCAGGTCACAGCGAGTTCTAGTCCCACCTTAGTATTTTGGGGCCAGTCACTTCTCTCAGCGAACTCACTTCAGAGTTGTTGACGTGGGGGAAGCGGGAAGAGGAAGCTGTGTTGTGCTCACCCTCATTTGTAAAAATAACAAAGGTGTGATACAAAACACCCATAAAGGCATTAAAAAAAAAAACCCACGATTGACAGAACCACGAAGACACATGTGTGGTTAAAGATCCACCCCAGGGACCTCAGAGATGGGACGGCTTTCTTTTTGCAAGCAAGCGCAGTTCGTGGAGACTTACGAAGGAAGGTCCTTGGCCGCTCTGAGCCCCCAGCCCTTCTTCTCCGTCAGGATGACTTCAACGTCTGCGTGCTGCTTCCTCTGAAACCGCCGATTCGAGCAATGCTCTCCGTTGGGACACCTGGAGGAACTGAAGACAAGAGAGAGCAAGCTGAACAAGCGCACGGGGCCCCTGTGCATCCTGGCTCTGTGGCTTATATTCCCAGTCAACCCAACTGAGCAGGCAGGCAGGCAGATGTTATAATCCCTCCTGTAAAGGAGACCCCTCTGGTGGAGCCCAGGAGAAGGGCCTCCTCTGTGGTGGCCCCCTCCCTGTTGCTTGAAGGACCGCTTCTTCCTAGTTTTATATCCGTCAGACCCACCAAAGCAGGGAGGCAGGAGATGTGATGGGTCTCCTCTCTTAAGGAGGTTCATCAGGTGGGACCCAGAAGAAGGGCCTTCTCCACGGTGGCTCTCTCTTAGGTTATTTGAAGGACCACCTTTTCCCAGTTATCTCCATCAGACCCCCCCCCCCCCCCCCCCGAAAAGCAGAGAGGCAGGAGATGTTTTAACCTTGTATGTTCCTCATCTCTACTATTAAAATAAAAAAGAATTGAGGGAAGGCAAATTTTAACAATCACAAAACAGATTCCGTTTTGCGACACGTTTTCCTCCCTGCACGTCGTTGAAAAGGACAGCAAAACGGGTTTTTTACCATTCGATCATGAGCAGGCGGTTCAGACAATCCTCTCCACACGCCACCTCTCCCTGGGATAGTTCTTCTTTGGAAACGGTTGGACATTCACACAGCATCCGTTTGATGTCTCGGTGCGACTTATTCTTTTTTCTAAGGAAATCGTGTTACATTGGTAAACATTTTTTCAGGAAAATATCCCTTTGAACAGGGTAAATAAGCCTGGCCCGATTATTTTGCTATCTCTTAACCTCAGTGTCTTTAAGGTTAAGGCCAAACATTTACAGAACCCCCATAAATTATTCATTTAAAACTGTGTTTGGTGGACACGCTGCTTTATGTTCACAACTATGTGAAGTCACAGCTGCCAGTTGTGTTGGCCTTCCTATGTATCCACCCCAGGTTGAGTTCTGCAGCCATATGAACTCCCATAAAACACGTAGTTCTTTTTATAGGCGGTCAGTTGTAAGTAAATTCACATCCAATCTGACTTCTGCAGCCACATGAACCCGGAAAAAAGATGTAGATACGCTAATCAGCTGTCCATACACCAGAAGTAAATTTACAACGAACCCGGATTCTAAAGCCCTGTGAAGACTCAAAAAGATGCAGCTACTTTAATGAGCCGTTAGACACACAAGTAAATCCACACCTTATCCAAAGCATTTTCTCCTCATTGGATATGAATGGTGCATCCCTCCAGCTCTTCCCATTTTCCCACTAGCGATCCCTGAGCAGGTCGTAATGGGGTGGAATCGTAAGGATCCACCCCGTTCTGACACGCTCGGGGGCAACATTTTAGGCTCTATGGGATAGCCAAATCCTGCCCCATCCGGTCCAGCAGGAGGGGTATGCTCAGGATGTCATCAGCCAAGGAATTCCTGCTGAAGGGATCCAGAAGAAGAGCATCTCCTGTCAGGCCCCTGCTCTTTGGAATTTAATGCTCCTTGCAAAAAAGAAAGACTGGCAGAATTGGGGTGGGGGATGGGGTGGGGGGGGGGGTGGAGTGAATCGGTCTAGGATCCTTAGGTAGCCACAAGTGAGTTAAGTCCAACCCTCCTTGAATTCTGTTGACCCTTTTATTTAACTCTTAGCAGGAGTTACCCGGTAGTTGAAAAGGTTCCCGTGGATAGGTTTTTAATAATAATATATCAGGAGACGGTGAGTTCTAGTCCCACCCTGGGCATGAAAGCTGACTTGTTGACATTGGGCCAATCGCCAGGGAGGACATCGGGAGTTCTAGCCCCGGCTTAGGCATGAAAACCAGCTGGGTAACATTGGGCTGATCACCAGGAGACGGTGAGTTTTAGTTTCATCTTAGCCATGAAAGCTGGCTGGGTGACTCTGGGCCTAATCACTAGGTGACAACGAGTTCTAGTCCCACCTTAGGCATGAAAAGTGACCGGGTTAATTTTGGGTTGGCGTGCTCTCTCTCAGCCCAATCCACTTCGGAGGTTGTTAAAATAGATAGGAGTTATTTGTAGAATAGAAATAAGTAACATTACCTTTCTGTCAAATACATGTTTTCTTCAATGAGGTCGAAGTAGCAGGGCATTTTCCCTTCCTTGGCATAGTCCTTCCAACGCTGGGGGTCCCGAAAGTCTTCCATGAAACACAACGGACGATCCGTTGGGGAGCCCTGGGGCAGGATGCTCAATGGCTCCCTCTCTGTTTTGAGTTTCTTCCTTTCCTGGGAGGCCCCGTCACTCTCCGAATCGCTCCCCAAGTCAGTTATCCTTTTCTTTAGTGGCCCCCGTTCCTTCATGTCGTTTCTTTCTGTCGCCTTCGTCCCTTGTTCTTTTCTCTCGCGCGCCATAGGGAAGTCCTTTGCCGAGTTGCTGCTGATCTCGTGAGCCTGTACCGACCCCTTCTCCCTGGGGTCCCGTGACTGGAACTTCACGGACTGGTCAGGGAAAAAGAGCTGGCTTTCATCCACCCATCGGTCTACTTCTTCGTACTCCTCGTGATCCTCGGTGAGCGAATCAGGGACCTGTCCTTGGATACGCTCGTAACTAATGGCAGAAGGTCGGTTGGTCAGCCTTGGATCCCAGTAGCCGTTGTCAGGCCAGTAGTTGTGAGACCCCATGTACGGGACTGGGGGCGGGGGATAAACGTAACCTGGGAAGACTCCATAACTACTATCGGGCTGTTGGTACGTGCTGCTGGGCTTCTCTGGTTGGGAGAAATCCCACCCCAAACTCCCCAAGTCCTCCGTCGAATGAAAGCCGTCTTCCCGAGAGAAATCGGCAGGATGGGGAAGACCCACAAAAGCAGGCCTGCCCTGCCTACGGTCTGACTTGGAAACGCCGCCCATCGTGTCGGTCATTTCAAAACCGGAAAGGCGGTGCAGATCTTCTCCTTGTGATGCGCCGACCGACCGGGTAATCGAGGTGGTTTCGTTGTAGACGATTCTTTCGTCCGGCTTATGGAAAGAATCGGTCGCCGGCTCGGAGTGGCTGGTGCTGTCAACGTCGTCGCTCTGAGGCTGGGAGGCCTCTGGCAGAGGGCCCCCCGACACTTCAGTTCTCTTGACCTCTGTCGACGTAGCTAAGCTTCTCTCTGATTCTCTAGGAGGCAAAGTTCTGGTTTCATTTGACAGGTTGTTATTCAGTTCCAAGCTATCTGGCACACTTTCACAGAACGGCTTGGTGGACTCAGGCCGGCTGTCTTCCCAGGGATCCATGTAACGTCGGTTACTCTGGCTGTTCCGTGAAGAACACGAGCTGCTCTCTTCCAGGGTTAGGGTGGAATTCTTTGGAATGACCACCACGGACTGAAGGCGGTTCCTGGGAACGCTGCTGTCATCCGAATCAGAGTCCTCGCTCTCGCTCTCGTCGCTCAGATGCTCGCTTGCGCTTTCGGCCGTATCAGAATAATCTTCGTTGTGCGCAGAAGAGATTTCTGGAGTATTGCTGCTGCTGCCATATCTGGGCTCTTCTTCCATGGTTTCAGTTTCTTCTACGGTGACGACAATTTGACAAGAAGGGGACAACCCTTCCGAAAAGGCGGATTCCATCAGAGGGCCCTCTTTGTCTTTCATCACCAAAACTCCAGGGGCTGGTTTGTCTAAGTCAGGGGTCATCCCTTCATCAAAGACCACTGCATCTTTCTCCTCAAGTTCTTCCTTTCCAGGAATCTTCTCAGGTTCCTTCACTGGCATCTGTAAATAATAACAATGCTCATTTTTCAAAGGAGATTTTGCTTTTTGGACAACGGAATCTGCAGGCAGGATATCTAACTCAAGGGCAACTTCAGGGCACGTTAAGACTTCTTTAGCCATTTGTTGGATGGGTGTGTCCAGATGGAGCACATTTTCAGAAGTTGGTTGTTGCTGATTGTCTTCTTCCACAATATACTCCTCTGTTGTAAAACCTCTGACTGGTGCGGGCTCCACTGAACTGAAACCTGTGTATTTCTCATTTTCCTGAGCCAAACCGGATGGATTTTGATCATCTACACTAGACGATGTGAATGTTTGAGCAGAGATCTCTGCGTGAATGCCCACTTGAGGTTCTTGAGTAGCTTCTGTGTCTGAAGGCTCCACTTCAATTTCAATTTCTGAATAAGACAAAGAAACAGAAGTGTCATCCGGCAAGTAGCAAGGGGTGGGATCTTTGGTTTTACAAGAGGAATCTGTTGGATCACTCCCTTTTTTAGACAAGGTTTTAGAGTGACTGACCTGCTTGGTAAAAGAAGATACACATTCAGGTGAAGGAGGATTTGAAATCTCCATGTTCTCCTCCAGCAAGTGGAGGTTGGATTCGCCGGAAAAAATGAGAGACTCATCTGGATTGCATCCTTTGAGTAGAGACAGGGTTTGGAGACTGTTTGATGATAGCTTAGGACTTTTGGCTTGAGGGGGCAGCTCAGATCCACCTAAATTATCATCAGAAGACAGGTCGATCTCTTCTGCTTCAAAGGGAGAGGATAACCTCTTCCGGCTCCTCCTTTCCGGGGACCCATTTATATCCAGTTCTACTGGAGAAGGTGTCCTTAACTGCTCTTGCCTTTCTTTACCTAAAGATCCCATGTCCTTAATACTGATATGGCTATCGATTCCTGCAAGTTCATTTACGGTAGAAAGAGGCGAACCCATTTTTGATTCATCTAGCTTTCTAAATGTCAGTGAGTCACTGAACTGACTTACTGGAGAAACAGTCCTCTCCGTTTCTGGCTTCTGGGTAAGAGCGGTTTTCGTTTCACAGCCTGGTACACCAGAAGTCTCCGAGTCTACACAATTAGACTGATCTTTGACGTCCTCAGATTCTGTACAACAGAAAGAACTCTTAAATTTATCTGACTTGGGTGCAGATGTCTTGGAAGAGGTGGGCTTGGATCGGGACGAATTCCCGCCTTCTGCTTTAGAATGGGAGGCTCCCCGACGATGTCGTGGCTCATTGACAGGCGAGGACCTTTTTGATATGTCGCTTTCGGAAATCCTTCGTGTTTCTCTATCTGACCTGGCCTGCTTTCCTCTTCTCTCCACATCAGGATAAGCAGAGTCAGTCTTGCCGCTTTCCCTCTCTGACTTCGAGTAAGAGGACGAGGTCCTGGAATCTCTGTAAGACGAGGAATGAGAAGATGCGTGCCGTGAATCTGCGGACAATCTAGAATGGACCCTCCGATACTCTTCCTCCGAATCGGAACTCTCCCTCACCCGGCTGTCCATGTAAGAACGGGAGTACCGTGTCTTCTCTCTGTACGGTGAGCTTCTGTGGTATCTCCGGTCAGAGTCATAGTAATGGGACCGCTCGGATCTAGAATAAGATGTGCTGGTTCTAGAACCCCTTTCAGATCGGGAACGGGAGTGGCTTCGCCGCCTCTCTCTCTCTGATCTGGACCGTGAGGAGTACCTTGAATCTCTCTCCGACCGGGAATGGCTAGAATATTTGTCATCCCTTTCCGATCTAGACCGCGAAGAGACCTTTGGGGGCTCTTCCGTTTTTGAAGCCACGGAGCTTTTCCGTAAATCCTTTTCCTTCTCTGAGCTGGCCGCTGCTTTGATTTCGTGGGACCGCTGACTCGAGGAGGTCCTCACCGAATCTTCGTCCGATTCAGATCCTGGCAATGCCCCCTCTGACAACGAGAACTTCCTCCTCGGCTTCTTTGAACTTGGGGCAACCTTGGAGTTATCTGCAATTTCTTCTTCCTTCCCAATGTGGGAATGCCTTTTCACCGATGCTGGCTCCGCTTCCTCAGAAACCCCTGGGGCCAGATGTTCTTCAGACTCCCCCAGAGCGGCATTTTGTAGTTCAGAAGACTGTTGTGGTGGGCTGGGTGATGGTTCTGTTATCATTCGGACAACGGTTTCTACAGGGGATGTCAAGAGAGGGGTGACGGGCACTGGTATTGCAACCTGGGCTGCACCTACTGGAATCAGCACTGGTGTGGGAGCTGGTTTTATCTGTGGAGGAGGAGCGGGCGGGGGAAAGGGGGGAGGAGGGGGAGGCGGGGATGACGGCATCTCCCCCAATTCTGCTGCAGCAGGTGGTGGTGGTGGTGGCGGCGGAGCTACTGGGAGCGGCGGCAATGCAGAAACCAGGGAAGGTTTCGTGGTAACATTTAGCAAATGCTTCTTGAAATGAATTTTGCCCAGTTCCGCCTTCGGCTTTGGCGGGGAAAATTCCTCAGGAGTTCCCAACGGATCACCGAGTTCTGTTTTCAGCTTAGAAGTGAAGTCACTCGGAAGGGGCGAAAGGGACGTGCCTGGGCTTTCGCTGGACTTCTCATTCCCCAACGCAGCCAGGAACCGGTTTGGCAACGTCTTCTTGGTAAGGCTGAAGCTGAAGGACACTTTCTGCCTCCCTTGTTCCTCCAGATTCACTTTTGTCCGGGTACCTTTGGGTAAGAAACGGCTCGATGCCACTCCTTTGAAGACGGGGCCTTTGACAAAGCCAGGTTTCTGGGCACTTTCGCTCTTGCCCTACAATGCAAAACAGCAGCCAGTGAGAGCTGTTCCGTTTCCAAAAAAGAGGAATGAATAAAAGAAAGATCGCGACCCAAAGAAAAGAAAACCCCCCCCCCCCCCAGAGAGATGGCAGGTCAGGCTGGTTGACTGATGACAGATTTTCTTATCTGAGATGTTTCATTTAATATTATGTATTAATTTAGCAAATACAGGTAATCCCTGCCATACAACATTTAGCGACTGTTCAAACTAACAACGGGACTGAAAAGACTGACTTACGACTGGTTTTCACACCTGTGACCATTGCAGCATTCCCCAAGGTCATGTGATCAAAATCCAGACGCCTGCCATCTAACTCGTATTTACGACAGTTGCAGTATCCCCGGGGCCACGTAATTCCCCCTTTGCGTCCCCCATCCAAGCAAAGTCAGTGGGGAAACCAGATTCACTGAATAACTCTGGGATTATTGACTTAAGAACCGCAGTGATCAACTGTGGCAAGAAACCCCACAAAGTGAATGGAAACTTTGGCCTCAACTGTGGGTGTTAAATCGAGGGCTAGCTGTATGAAGCATCCTCTTAGACAGACATGGAAGGAAGGGTAAAAATCGTGGGTTTTTTTTTTTTAATTTACTCTTTTGACCACTTCCCCTCTAATGGCCAACTCCTGCCACACGTCAAATCTTTATTTTCAGTCACCCGAAACAGAACAAAAATTCCCTCACGAGGCCTTCCCTACATTCCCCCCAAACAGAAGTGGAGTCAGTTAGTGCTTACCTCATTTTCTTCTTCCCTGTTGCGATCCGGATGTAACCGTGTCCGGAGGGGGGGGCGGGGTTGGAGAGGAAGAGGAAAACAGAGAAAGCGTGAAAACTTAAAAAGGCAAAAACAAACAAACAAATGCTTGCTTTACAGATTTAACAAATAAGTTTCACTTGTCCTGAACACTAATCTCTCAGCGAGGACAGGCAGTAACCTGGCTCACTTACAAACTGTCAACATAGGTGGTACAAGCTATTTCTCCAGCCCTGTTATGTGTCACTCCAAAAAAAAAAAAAAAGAAAGAAAAGTGCTCTAGCAGAGCCCTCCTCGGTAAATTTTGGGTTTTTCCCAGCAAAACTGTCAATTCTCAAGCATGTGTGCGGTCATATCGAGAGTCCAGCAGCGCAGCACCTTTCCTTCCCAAAGTATTTATTTATTTAGGATATTTATATGGCCGCCCACTCACTCACAGTGATTCTGGGTGGCTTACAAATAACAAAAGCCTAATATAAAAAGAAATAAAAACAAAACAAAGGGTAGTTTGAGGGCCTTCCTGTGTTACAATTCTTCCGATATCAGAAATGTGAGCCACCTCCAAGGAGGAAGAGGGTCTGGAAATGCCATTCTTACATGCGTTGATAGGGTAAACCTTGTTACAGCAAGTTGCGGCACAAATCTTGCAAAAAATTTCTCCGGGTTCCTCATTCCGGAATCCCAATGCAATCCAAAGAATTCAGCTTCTAGTTTTACTGAGAGAAAGCAGCGGAAAGGGAAATATTTGGGAAAATAAAACAGGAAAAGGCATGGATTCTCACGCAGGCGGTCCTTGATTTACAACCACAACTGGGAACTTCCATCACTAAGCAAGACAACTGTATATACAGATAGTCCTCGAATTATAACCATTTTCTTTAATGTCCATTTGAAATTAAAACTGAAAAAAGTGACTTATCATAGTTTTTCATGCTTACGACTGCTGCAGCATCTTCACAGTCATGCGATCAAAATTCAGGTGCTTGGCCACTGGCTCATATTTATGACGGTTGCAGAATCCTGGGGTCACGTGATCCCCTTTTGCAACCTTCTGACAAGCAAAGTCAACGGGGAAACCAGATTTGCTTAACGACTGTGTAACTAACTTAACTGAAGTGATTCACATAACGGCTGTGGCAAGAAAGGTTGGAAAATGGAGAAAAACTCAACTGTCTTGCTTAGCGACCTAAACTGTGGGCTCAACAGCAGTCGTAAGTCGAGCAATGCTTGTACAGCAGGAAGGCCACAACAGCAGCAAAACTGACCTCAGCTGAGGTCAGTCACACAGAATTTTCCCCCAAACTATTCACCCTCAAAATTACCCCAAGTTTCAAAGAATAAACTTCAACCATCATTAAATCCAGTTTTAAACCAGTGTTCCCATCGGACAGCTGCTGTTGGTTACTGATGTAGAGGGTTATTTAAAGAAAAAAGAAAGAAAATGGTTTTTGAATTTTTATCAAGGATAAATGACCTGCTAAATGACCTGCTAAGTTAAATGGCATGCTTTTCTGTTTCCAGTCTTTTTTTTTGCAGAGGGTTACAGAACAAAGAGTTTTTAGTTTGTATGAATTGTTTGCAATTTTGATCTGGTTCTGGGATATTTTACTATTTGCATATTTTGTCTACCTGGCTAGACAAGATCATGAGTTCTAAAAGGGAGAGAGGTTTGATGCACATACCCCTACTAGCACCAATGATGTTCCCTACTTGGATCATGCCTGCAAGAAAAACCACCAACCTCACCGAACACCACTAGGAGGAGAAAATGAAACTCCAGGTTCTGGAGATATATCTTAAGATTACACTTTATGCAAGCAACTGAAATAATATCTTTCTATGCCATAAAATCATGGCAGAAATGTCCTCAGTCCCAAAATCACATACCTCAGCTTGAGGCAAAATCTGAATAAAAAAACTGCTTTGAATTTAAAAGAAACCTCCTTTGAGAAATGAAAAATATTACCCTTACTAAAACCTTCAATTCATATTCTTTTCCTCCAAATTCCTTCTCAGTATAAGTCCTCAGGACTTCTTCATACCTTTTGGAGGGTACCTGTTGACTTGCTAATGTTAATATTCCAAACCATTCTCAAGTCAATTACATTGATAAAAATTTCTTCCTGACACAAATACGATCTTTTCCAAACTACTTGCTACACGTACAACACTCCGTAAAGCAATGTGTCTCAAACTTGGCAACTTTAAGAGAGATGGACTTCAACTCCCAGAACTCTGGCTAACAGGGTAATTCTGGGAGATGAAGTCCTCGCGTCTTAAAGTTGCCAAATTTGAGAAACACTGTTCTGGAGAAATTGACAAGTTACACCAAACATAGTCTGTACTGTTGTTAATGTAACTGTCCTTTAAAACACCACCTATTTATTTATATTGCCAAGTTTTGACAGGAAAGATGTTATCACCGTAAAGTTGCTTATTTTGCACAGAGCTGGTAACCTAGCATACTAGATTAAAACTCACTTAAAAGCTGTCTTGCTCAACAACCAAAGTTTTTGGTCATAACTGGAGGACTAAATGTATATTTAGACTTTCCCTTATGCACAAAGTCATGAAAGGGTGGGGAGAGCAAAATGTTACCTGGGAAATTGCTGGTGACAAACATGGATTCGTTCTGATTAGAGAACGGCAGCTAAAATAAGATCTCCCAGATCTGCAGATGGTTTATGAGAGGGGGGATTTCCCAGGATCTGAACAGGTCACCTGGGTTAAAAAGAAGCTTCTGAGCCCGTGGGGTGTGTGTGTAATGTGTGTGTGAAGGAAGCGTAAAAAGGAAGCATAAGAAGATGGCCAGCTACACCGCTGCGGTGAATTTGAGTCGGTTGCTGTGGACACAGCAAACAGCACTATTTGCTTGAGAAAACCGACGTGAGAAGCAGGAAGCGCCGAACCGTTGGCCAGCAACTCAGAATGACCATTAAACCTGGAATAGGTGGGACGCAAGAGACCTGGAGGAAAATACAGAATTCTAAGACCTGCAAGACTCAATAAAGTCCCATTTGCAGGCTGTTATGAAAAGTTCTGATTTTCTAGAATAAAAAACAAAACAAAACAGGGATATACAAGCAGTCCTCAATTTACCACAGTTCATTCAGTGACCATTTGAAGTTATAATGGCACTGAAAAAAAGGGGGACCGTTTTTCCACACTTACGACTGTTGCAGCATCCATCCCCAAAGATACGTGATATATAATTCAGACGCTTGACTTGTATTTGTGACGGCTGCAGCGTCCCGGGGTCGCACGACCCCTTATAGTGACCTAATGCCAAGCAAAGTTGATGAGGAAGCCAGATTCGCTTCACAACCGTGTTCCTAGCCTAATAAAGGCAGGGATTCACTCAACAACAGTCATAAAATGGGGCACAGCTCATTTAACAAGTGTCTCACTCACAAACACAAATTTTAGGCTCAATTGTGGTCCTAAGTCGAGGACTCACTACCTGTACCTCCAAGTGTAAAATAAGGCTGACCAAAGTTTCTCCTTAAAGAGTATCTTACTACTACCTCTTTGTTCCAACATCTTCCAAAGTCTTTGCTCAAGGCAGAGAGCGCGACGGAAGACACATGACAGGGTGTCCTCAACTTATGACCACAATGGGGCTCAGAATTTGTGCTTCTGCCTACGGAGTGTCCATGGAGCTTCTCCAGGTCCTGGTTGTCCCAAAGGTGCTTTTTTTTTTTCAAGAATCAACCGGACTTTCTGGTTTTTTTCCTTTGAACATGCTTCGCTTCTCATCCAAAACGCTTCTTCCGCTCGAACTGGATGCGGTTTATACCGGCTGGCTGCAAGGAGTGTAAATCCTTCCATTCCCCACCACCCAGTCAAAAAACCCTGAAAGTCCAGTTGCCCCTTGAAAAAGCACCTTTGGGGTTCTGCTTCTAGGCGAGGTAGTGAATCGCACCTCCTTTTACAACTTTTTTTTTGCCACATCTCTTAAGTGAATGATGCGGTCGTTAAGTGAATTTAGGTTCCCTGTTGGCTTGTTAGAAGGTCGCAAAAGGGGATCACATGACCCCAGGAAACTGTGACTATCAAAAAGACGGTTCAGTTGCCAAGCGGCCAGATTTTGATCACGTGATCATGGGGATGCTGTGACGGTCGTAAGTGTGCAAAACGGTCACGTCAACTTTTTCCAGTGATGCTGTAACTTCAAATGGCCGCTAGACAAATGGTTGTAAGCCGAGGACTGCCTAGAGTGGCATTAGGAAGGGGGCAAAAAAGAATGAAAAAGTGCAGATGTCAAACAATTATTTTCAAGAGCCGCAACGGTCTCCCCGATGCACTATAATCATCACCTCGTAATTGCAGCAACGGCTGGGCTCTGTTTAGCTCACTTTGCCAACGGTGTTTTGCAACTAGCAAACGGTTGGGCTGAAAGCTAAAATTACCAATTAATACTCCCTCCAGGGAGGGAAGGAAGCAAAAGATAAGAAGAGCCAAGGGAGCGACTGGAAAACAACATAAAATTTTGTCCACCCGCTCATATGCCCAAGGCGGAAGTCACAAGAAAATGCTGCAAAGATAGAGTGAAATTCAAATTCAAATCATGTGACACTTCCAGCATTGGATTCCATTGTCCTCCCAATGTTACCCAGTCTCTGAAAAACCCTCTTGCCCATTACAATAATTTACAACAATTCATTTAGTGGCCGAGGTTACAGTGCCACAGAAAGGACTGTTACGACAGTTTCTCACACTTATGACCATTGCAACGTTCCTGTGGTCATGTGATTAAAATTAGGACACCTGGCAACTGTCCCATATTTATGACGGCCACAGTGTTCCCGGGTTTACATGATCCCTTTTTACGACCTTCTGACGAACAAAGTCAATGCTTAACAACTGTAGGGATTCACTTAACTGTGGCAAGAAAGGTCATAAAATGGGGCAAAAATCAGCAACTGTCTCACTTAGCAACAGTAATGTTGGGCTCCACTCCAAGACCAGGAGTGCCTGTAATCAAGATGTAAGCTCACCATTACATACCTCCGGAGCTCTTAAGTCTCTGGCATTGCGATCCCTGAGTCTGAGCCGTGAGATAGAAGTAGCCCTTGATTTATGACCACAACGGCATCCAAAATGCCAGTCGCTAAGCAAGACAGTTGTTAAATGAGATATGCGTCATTGCATGACCTTTTCTGTCACGGTTGTTGATCCCGTGTCTGTGGGGGATGCGGTGATGGTTATAAAGGTGAAAAACGGTGATAAAGTCAACTTTTTTCAGCACCACTGTAACTTCTGGATGGGGCTTAAGTGAATGGTTGTAAGTCAAGGATTGCCTGCATCTTATCAAGTAACGCCATCCCTGGCCGCGAGGGGACAGTACGCAAAAGACCACCGTGTTACATGCACAACCAGTTTCTGTTAGGCCACAACTGAAAAAAATGAAGACTGCCTGAGAGAAATCTGAACTGTGTTGTCTTTGACCCACAGCAGCCTGTGAGAAAGCCATCGCGCAAAATGGTTGCCAGGCTACAAGTGGGAAAACTCCTATTCATCGAAAGGCAAAATGGTAGTTGGCGTCCTTTGTCTATAAGTTACAGAAATATAGAATAGCAGGGTTGGAAGTGACCTGGGAGGTGCTCTAGCCCAACCCTCTTCTCAAGCAGGAGAGTCCGGTCTTCATTTATCCCGGATTAACACGAGGCGTTAAACTGGCTGAAGTGAACCGTGATTTATTGCTTAAACTGTTGGGATTCGTGATCTATATTACAAGTCAAATATTAACCAAGGACATTTCTGATCTGAGCACTTGGTGAACCTGACCTGGAAATAAAAACTAATGATTCTAAAGAGAAAGCAGGACAAAATGAAATGCTTTTCAGTGGTACAAATGGATTTATTTTTATGGGATAATTTATAAATATTGTTCAAAAGGCAGGGTGTTAATAAATAAAAAAAATAAATTTAGATGTATTTGTATCCCTTTATTATATTTACAAATAACTCATGGCAGCGAACGTATCCAATGTATATTTTTCCTCCTATGTTCCCTACAACAACAACCTTGTGAGGTGGGTTGGGCTGAAAGGGAGGGACTGGCCCAAAGTCACCCAGCAGTCTTTTATTCCTAAAGCAGGACTAGAACTCGCAGTCTCCAGATGTTTGGCCCAAAGTATACCTAGCTGGCTTTCATGCCTAAGGCGGGACTAGAACACACTGCCTCCTGGTGATTGATGCAAAGTCATGCAGCCGGCTTTCACAATTAAGGAGAGACTAGAACTCATTTCAAATCGGGATGTATGGCGTGTGTCTGTGTGCATATTACACGAGACAGTGTCAGGCCTGCCTTTCGCTGGCCTCCTGCCATAAATCGGGAGCGGAGGGAATTTGGGGCAGCCCACCCTGTGGGCCTAGGAACGAGGACACGAAGGGCCGGCGTGGAGCCATGTCGACAAAACAACCCAGCCGCCAAGGACACCTGGCTTGGGAACCGAACGGAGAGTGCGGCCGGAGGCGCCAAAGAACCCAGCCGTTCCCCAAACACCCCAAAGCCATCCCATTGGACCTTGATGGACTGGCCAAGGGGGGAGGGCCAGCGAAGGCGGGGGGGGGAGGAGAGAAATACTGACATCTACTTCCAAGCACTTGAGTAAAAGAAAACAGCCAAAACCAAATGAAATAAGCTCATTTCCACTTGACAACCGGGGTCAGCTTCCCAGCAGCCATCTCCTAATAACTGAACGGTTTCACCTGTTTCCCACCTGCCTTTAAAAAAATGAACCCCTTAAATGCATTTGACCTTGTCTGCTTATAAAATATCGAAGCGAGGAACACTTTGGTTTCCACTGCCAGCCACCTCTGTCAAAACTGCTTTTCTCAGCAATTATCCCAGGGAAGGGATATATTACATATTATATATTTCCGCTGCAATCACGAGAGATTTGTCAGGTTTCGGCTAAAGAAGAAGAAGACAAATAGCCATTCCTGAATTTGCAAGGGAGCCCTTCACGCTTTGGGGGCTTCATCTATCCGTGTTCAGCGAGAGGAAATAAGCACTGAATCTCTTTCTCCCTGCCAAGAAAACCTAAAGAAATCAAACTGTAACTGCAGGGAGTCCTCGACTTATGGCCACGGTTTAAATCAGGATTTCTATTTGCTAAGCTGAGGCAGGCAGTTGTTGAGTTGAATTGCATCCAATTTTCCAGGGGGGTGTTAAGCAAATCGTGCAGCCCTTAAAGAAACCCAGCTCTCCCGTTGACTTTTGCTCGATGGAAGCCAGCTGGGAGATTGCGAATCCGGGGATCACATGACCCCCCCAGGATACACTGCGACGGTCGTTAAATATGAGTCAGTAGCCAAATGCCCACAGGCGTCTGACAGGACGCTGCAAGGGCCGTTAAAAGTGATGCTGTAACTTCAGTCACTGCAGGAATGGTTGTAAGTCAAGGACTAACTGTAATATCATTCATTTAGTGACCGTTAGGATTTATAGACGCTTTGAAAAATGTGGCTCGCGACCATTTCTCACACCGCTGAAGCATCCCCATGACTGAAATCCGGACACTTGGCAACCGGCTCGTATTTAGGACGGTCGCAGTGTCCCGGAGTCACATGAACCCCTTTTGCGACCTCATGGTAGGCAAGGTCAATGGGGACGCTGGATTCACTTTACAACCGAAGTGACTCACTTAACAGTGGCAAGAAAGGCCGTAAAATGGGGCAAAAGTCACTTAACAATTGTCTTGCTTAGAAAGGGGAAAATTTGTGCTCAGCTGTGATTGTAAGTCAAGGACCACCTGAAATTTGCCTGTTAACTGTAACTTCCTGTAACGATAAACCATACGCTAATAATTTCCCCTATTTGAGTTCCCTCCCTAGTGGAAGCCACGTTCTCCGGCAAGCGAAGAGCATCTTTGAGACATGATGGATTTTATTTCCAAACTGCTCTCTGCCCTTTTCCTGTCTTAAGTTCGACACTCGGCTCTCACAGGCACGCACCTCTTAAAAAATGTATGGCACTTGGAGAGCGAGGCCAGTACGGAACAAATATTGCTCAAGATGCAATTCAGGCAGCAACTGAAAAATTCAAACACCAAACCACGTTTACCTCTGTTTCACCTAACCCCCCCAAAAAGTTACAATTATCTGGTTTTAACACAATGGCAGGCGCCTTGTAGCCCATGAAAGGGGCGATCCCTGAAAACATGGGGCAGAAGTCGCCCCCCCCCCCCCCCCCCGAATGTAAACACATTTTAGAGGCCCTATCCGTGCAAGACATTATTTGCAATTTTGGAATTTATTTAAACAGTCCCCCCACCCTTACAAAAGGATAAAGAGGAGGAATATATTAAAAAGCAAAATTTGTTTCCTGCCAATCTAGTCAAAAGACTAACATTTTGAAGGAGCAGAGAAGGGAAGAAGGAAGAGAAAGTAAAAAGGGAAAGGAGAGGAGAGGAAGGGAGACAAGAAGAGAAAGAGAGGGAAAGGAAGGAAGAGTAGAGAAGAAAATAAGAAAAGGAAGGAGGGAAGGACTTCCTGCCAGTAATTCTACCCCAAGAATTGTTGAATGTCCCCCATTTTAACACCTGCTACGCAAAGATATCCATGGGGGTGGGGGGGAATGTTGAATTTACGTTAGCAAAACAGAAGCTGAATTTCATTTTTTTTTTTGGTACAATTAATTTCTGGAATTGCATAATGTTGCTTAGGCATCCACATAAACAAGGAGAGCAATTTGCAAAAACAAAGGTATACCCTATTGCCTTGGTCCAAGTTTTTACCTTTCTACCTCTTCAGACCCATCCATATTCTTTTCAAAGATACACCTGTGGTCCCTTTCCACCTCAGAGGTGACTGCAATTTCAGCGCTGCTAGATGCATTAGCTTTTTGGTGTCCACTGGGATCCTTCAGTATGAAAGCCGTGCTATAAAAATAAAACAGGATTCAAGAGAAACAGTTGAGGGTTACATGCGCAGGTGAGAAAGGGAGAGAGAAAGGAAGGGCTGAGCTGCCGAAATCCATTTTTGCCAGAAAACATAAATGGCAGCCCAGTTCTGCTCAGGACGGGGATTAACAAAATAACAAGAGCTGGAAGGGACCTTGGAGGTCCTCTAGTCCAACCTCCTGCTCGAGCAGGAGTCTCTATCCCATCTCAGACAAGTGGTTGTCCAATCTCCTCCTTGAAAACCTCCAGTAATGGAGCACCCCAACTTCTGGAAACAAACAGATTCACTGTTCTCACTGTTGGGAAATTTCTCTTTTATTTCTAGGTTGGTCCTGTCCTTGATTCGGATGAATCCAAGGACTATCAATAATGCATTTTTTAAATATAAAAAAAAAATGTGGGTGCTTTTGTCCTCTACAAGATATTTGTCTTTTTTATTGTCTGTAAGCCGCCCAGAATTGCTGTTATCAGGGAGGGTTGGCATCTAAATTGAATAAATAATACGGATGAAGTTCCTCAAAGCCACAACTCTCTCCCTTCTATAGGCATCTATAAAAGTCTAATTTCTGAATGCCATTAGTTCAACTATGTCTTGAGACAATGCAAAATATCTCTTTGTATAACAAAAATGAAAGAATATTGGGCACAAAGCTACCAAGAATACAGGTAATCTTTGTCTTACAGCAAGCAGTTCGTTTAGTGAGCATTCTAACTTACGCCACTGAAAAAAGTGACATGACCGGTTTTCATACTTACAACCACTGCAGCCATCCCCATGGCCACGAGATCAAAATTCAGAGACTTAGCAACTGACTTATACTTACAACAGTTGTAGTACCCTGGGGTCATGTGATCCCCTTTTGCAACCTTCTGACAAGCAAAAGTCAATGGGGAAGCCATGTTTATTTACAATTTACAAGTGTTACTAACTGAACTCCAGTGATTCACGTCATAAAATGGGACAACATTCACTTAACAAATGTGTCACTTAGCAACACAAATTTTGTGCTCAATTGTGGTTTTAAGTCAAAGACTACCTGTATTTTCCTTTGTTCTTTTTTTTTTTTTAATATGGGGGGAAAGGTAGGGGAGATCCTACATATAGGAAAGGGGGTTTTAGAGAAAAATTCCTAACAGGCTTATAGAAAAAACCAAGTGCCTCCAAGCAGGTGCTCTCTCCTAGAGCTGGATTCAAATTCTTGTCAAACAATAGCAACCCTTTGTCCTTTTCAAGTTTGCTTCCAAAGATTTTTTTTTTTTAAAGTAGCTGCTGAGAGCATGTTGTTACACAGTTCCCCCAATTCTCAATCTTTCATGTTTGGGGATTGCTGCTTCAAACTTTATAAACCTTCTCCTCTCCCACACCAGACCTGGATTTAAGGAGATTTGGTCAGATTTGCACAGATAAACCTGTGGGGGACATTTTTGACCAAATCTCTCCCCCCCCCCCAATCATGGCTCCCTCTGAGCCCAGGAAGAGAGGCAGGTGCTCAAAAAGATTCCCCCCACATGTGCTAGCTATGCTCTGACTCACTTGTGCCCTTTGGATCCAGGTCAAGGCTCAACTTGTTATATCGGTTACTTGCAGCCCTCATGCAACAACTTCAGTTTAATGGGTTATTTGCCCAGGGGGACTATGTTAGAAACTGGTGCTATTGCGAAGGACCAAACCAATGGGGTTGTGAAGATGCACAGGCACCACACGTGCACACATATGTAAACTCTGGGGAAAAATAGCAGTTACCTAGGGGAAAAAAGGCAATCCACGCAGACCAGACAGGCAGAGCCAAAGGCCCAATATAATGCCTAGGACTGGAAGGGACCTTGGAAGTCTTCTAATCTAACACCCCCACCCCCCCACCAGGAGACTTTAATCTTTCCTTCTCCAGCTAAGAGACCTTGGTGGTTTTCTACTCCAAGACAAGATATCTTATCTTTTCTCTCCTTTGGCCAAGAGACCTTGGCTATCTTCAAATTCATCTTTCTAGTCGAGCAGGAGACCTTGGTTTTGTCTTCTCCGGCTATGAGACCTTCCTAGTGGAACAAACGCTCCCCTCCCTCCTCCAAGGCAGGAGACATCAGCCGTTCCTTCTCTATCTAAGGGACCTTGGAGGCCTTCTAGTCTGACTTTCTGGCCAGGGCAGGAGACGTTAAGTCTTTCCGGAGGGAACCTTTTGCCTCTAAAAGGTAACTGACAGGACAGTATTATAGGAATAACCTCCCATCTCTTCCCAGCAGGAAAGCCAACCCAAAAATAGGAAGAAAAACAAAAAAACACAGCTCAAAATACAGAATTGGACGAGGAAGATGTTACTCTGGAAGACAGGTTCATACAGCGGCAACTGATGTCTTAAGGAAAGGAATCGCGCCCCCCCCCCCCCCCCCCCCACAATACCAGACCAAACAGGTTCACAATCCATCCATTCTGGGGGGGAAGAGGCACCCCCCTTCTCCACACTGCAACAACCCCACACACACACACACACACACACAAAAATCCAGGCTCTGCTACTTCAGGCCCTGCAAATGGAGGGGGAACCTAGGGGGAAAAAAAAAGGGGGGGGGGACAGACAAATAACACTCGGAAAGCCCCCCCCCCCCCCCCCCCCCCCCCCCCC